CAACAGTAGTGAGGTTGGCCCAGGATTGGGCAGTGTTTCATTCTGCTGTGCATAAGGTCGCTATGAGTTGGTACTGACTGGATGGCACCTAACAATAACAACAACAGTGCTTTGAAGAAGTCCTGGTGTGGCACTGTGGGTTAATGTGCTGGACTGCAAAGTCGGTTTGAACCTCAAGGTCAGCGGTTCAATCTCACCAGTCACTCTTTGGAAACCCTATACAAGGTCACTATGGTTGGAATTGACTCGACAGCACTTAACAACAACAACAAAGCTTTGAAAGCACTTGTTGTTGTAAGCTGCCATCAGATTGGCCCCCAACTCATGCCAACCCAATCTACAACATAACAAAAAGCTCCTCTTGTCCCATCCCCATGATCAGTTCTGATTTGTAGGATTTTCATTGGCTAAATTTTAGAAGTAGTTCACCAGCTTTCCTTCCTAGACAGTCTTAGTCTGGAAGCTCGGCTGAAACCATTTCAGCAACAGAGCAACTTGCAAAACTCCACTGTCAAGACAGGAACTGCATGAGGTAACCAGTCAGGAATTGAACCCAGGTCTCCCACATGGAGGGTGAGAATTCTACCACTGAGCAATCAGTGCTTCCAAGTGGGGATGCTTACGAGATGCATAGCGACCTTATGCGCCTTATGTTAACTAGGCTCCAAGACCTGAATCTAACATGGAGAGCTCGGAGGGCAGTATACCTTATGAATGCTTTTCTAAAGTTCAGCACAAGGTTTCTCAGCCTTGGCCCTATGGACATGTTGGGTTGAATAATTCTTCGTTGTGGGGAATTTTCTTTTCTAAAAAGTTTCTAGGTGGTTTTGATGCTGGTGAAGTCTTTTGATGCACATATGATTTTAATTTTTAGTATGTCCCATTCATCTATTTTGTCTACTTTTGTTTGTGTCGTTTTCAAAATGTTTGGTAGTCTGTGTATTCCCTGAATTAGTGCCCTCACATTTGTCCCTATTTTTTCATTGATGGTCTTTCTACTATGATTTAGGAAAAAGAAAGACCACTGGGCCAATGGAATGGGATCTCTAGCATTTGATGAGGCAACGTTAGGTGTGAGGAGCCTGCAAAGTTGTTTGAACTACAAGGGCAGTAGTTCAAGCTCACCTGATGCTCTGTGGAAACCCTATACAGGGTTGCTATGAGTCGGGATCAACTCGACGGCACTTAACAAGAACAAGCCAATAGTAAGTAAACCCTTGTTTCTGGCTGAGTAAACTTTAGAAAGATGGATTACATGGATCAAACTCTTACTTGCAATGAAAGAGGAACCCCTGAGTGGTGCAAACAGTTAAGTGTTCGTCTACTAACTGAAAGTTTGGAAGAAAGGCTTGGTGAGCTGCTTAGAAAGATCTCAACCACTGAAAGCTCTATGGGGCACTACTCCCACACTCATGGGGCTACCATGAGTCATAATTGACAGCAATAGGCTGGTTTAGGGGCTGCTTTTGCATACACTAAGAAGCCCTAATGGTGCAGTGGCTAAGCATTTAGTTGCTGAGTAACAGATTGGCAGTTTCACCCTACTCTGTCCTCTAGGGTCACTGGGAGTTGGAGTCCACTCAATGGCAATGAGCCAACAGAGTTGCGTACATATTGATCGTTGTATGATGCTTTGAGGCCTAGTTATTGTATCTCGCTTTCTCTGACTAAATTAGAATTGGGGTTTCAGCAATAGACTCCGTAGACCAACGGGAGCCCTAACTACTGAGCTGTACTGTGTCTTAGAAACACAGAAGGGTGACTAGAGAAAGAGAGTGGTTGGTGCCAAGACTCCCTTTGCTCTCCACCCTTCCAGTAAGCAGGCCTCAACCTCAGGACTCTGGGTGTTATAGAGTAGGCCATTCATTGGTTTGTGTGTCCATGCCTCTTCCTACCCATTTCTAGGAAAGCCTTTACTCAAATCTTGTACCTTCCATATCCTTACCTGACCCTTCCTCTCTGGTCACAGTTGATGACTAGTTTAGGAGCTTCACCCCAACTTAAACCAATCATATTATCTGTCTCATTTGGTTTGTAGAGATGATCAATACCTTGACTGAAGCCATGCTGAGCAATTCATTCTTGCTTTGAATCTTTGGATCTGAATGCAATTGAAGAGGCACCCAGTCCTTATGTAATGATGAAGCTGGGTGAGATGAGACAAAGGAGCTCAGTGACAATGTTTCCTGCTCTAATATGAAGCTGATTTAGAGAGACGCAGATATTAATGCTGGGGGCAGAGAGTCCTGGTGGTGTTTCATTTTCTGACGTTTCCTTTTCTACACCCTTGTTCTCATTAATCATAAAGTTTCCAGCGTGATTCCCTTCTTTGTCGATTTCCCTCATTGGAACCAAAAGTTTGCTGATCAAATCAAGTCCTTATTTTGGCCATTTCCTGTGGATGGGCTAGGAAACCTTGGATGCTATTACGGCCATTTGCAGTCCTCAGGTTAACACAGCCCAGGCCTCATTCTCTTCTATCTCTACATTTTTCTCAGGGTGAGTTTACCCATTCCAATTCCCTTCTTTTCCATACATTCCATTCAAGTAACTCGCATGTATTTTTTCAGCATAGACCTTTCTTTTGCTCTATACATTAAGTGATCCTAGATTTATGTGTTGACTCACCTTGAGTGCCAACTAGGCATCCCAGAGCAGAAACATTTGTAATAGACTGTTACTACTCTCCCCTTTATCAGTAAATGGCTCCCATTCTATCAAGCACTGGATAGTTCTTAGAGGAATTTTATACCCACAACTAAGAGGGATTTGAACCTGAGAGAAGGAATATGGACTAATTTTATGAATTAATTGCTATTTCAAGAGAATAAGGGTATTGTGTTTTTTCTACTCATTTTTGTTTTATCTATCTATATAACACAATACCTTCCAATTCAGTTTTTCACATGTACAATTCTGTGATATTAATCATCACCATAAATTGAATTCTAAATAATGGTTCCCCTTCCCTTGTCCCTCCCACTGCTCGTAACATCTGATAAAACTTTGATCTCTGTACCTTTGCATATTCTAGATACTTTATATAAATGAGATCATACACTGTTTGTCCTTTTGTGATTAAAGTAATTCACTCGTATAATCTTTTCAAGGTTAATCCATGCTGTGGCACACATCAGAACTTCGTTTCTCTTTATGGCTGGTGATATTCCATTGTATGGATATAGTATGTGTATACCACATTTTGGGAGCGGGGTGGATCTGTAGGATAAACACTGGACTGATTGTGAACCTCAAGTTCACTGGATCAAGCCCACCAGTTGCTCTGCAATAGAAAGAAGAGGCTTTCTGTTTCCTCAAAAAAGAATTATAGCCTTGGAAACCCCATGCAGGGCCACCATGCATCAACTCAATGGCACATAACAGCAACATACCACGTTGTGTTTATAAAGGATATGTTTGGAGCCTTTAACGTGGGAGATGGTGCAGGCTGCAGGGTGTGAGGCTTTGTTCATGCGAGAGAAAGTCTGCTTCCAGGTGAGCTGGTGGAGGCCAACCCTGCCTGCCGTGGCTGCCCTCGCAGGTGCCAGAGCAGAACATTCTTAGGACAAAGTAGTCTGAAGGTTGTATTCTGTTAACAGGGCACCTTGTACAAACAGTCCTGAGCCCAACTTATGTAACTCTTCGCCAACGGTGTTCCTAAGTCTCTTATGTGGTCACTTTCTCAGGGACAAACTGATCACAGGAGGGTGAGAACTTTGCCACCTCAGAAAACACTTCCACTATCTCCGCCCTTCTTAGTGACCAGTTCTTCCACTAAGAAATGAGACTGATTGTCAGAAAAAATCCAAAGGGTTTCATTGAACTTTCTCCCAGGATAGCAAGGTCCTTGACTCTACATTTGCATCCTTGAGTGTTTCGTCATTTAGCACTAATCTTGGCACAATCAAGGCGCTCTGGTGGTGCTGTAGGATAAGCACTGGGCTGCTAACTACAAGGTCAGCAGTTCGAACCTACCAGTGGTCTCATGAGAGAAAGATGAGACTTCCTACTCCCATAAAGTTAGTTGAACTTTGTTCTAATGTTCTTCTACCTTCACAATGACCTGGAGAAATTGCCAGGCCAACTTCCTAGGCTGTCTACAGGTCTGACACGTGTCATAGGTCAGATCTATGAAGAAAGTAGAATACATAATCCCAAATAAGAGCTGTTAGTTTCTTTATTGTTGTTCTTTTGTGCTATCTTCTAAAACATAGGTGTAATGTGGGAAAAAATTCCAATCTAATTCCACTTGGACTTCACTCTGATTTAGGGTTCTCTCTCGAACTCTCAGTTCTAGGCATTCCACCGTAAGTGGGTATTTATCAAACTCAAATTTGCTAGCAAACATACTTGAAGAGTTGTAGAGCCACTCTAAGTCACCAGGCCCATAGACACACTTATCTTGCCAATAGTGGCCTGCAAACAAACCAACAAGACATGAGAGAAGCAAAGTAAGACAACAGTCCAAACAAAACCAGCTTACATTCTTGAGAAAGAAGGCACTTTGGATTTTCAGTCTCTAAAATGAGTGCTAATTGTGTAAGATAAGCTTTTGTCAAATTTTCAGTGAAAAATTGTTATATATGAATCTATCATTTGCATTGGTCTTTCAAAGGCAGCATAGGTGTGTCTGAAATAGAATTTTATGGATGAATTCAAGATCTAAATTGAGACGTTGTAGGAAATTATAGCACTAAATTATTCAATAAGCGAGTACTGCTAATATAAGAGCCTTTAGGTTTACAAGATGAATGGGGCCTCTTATCAGTCCTGGTGGAGTCCCTTAGCCAATGAAGAGAGATCTGCCTAAACTACTAAAGTACCAAATAAAATATATGTGCTACAGAGACATTCAAGTACTATGGAAGTTAGAATGAAGTTGAGATGTCAATTTTGTTTTGTTTTTATTGCCTCAAATTGCGCCTTAGTTTCACTTGGCTATCTTGATAGGCCAATATACACAGGTATGGATCACACAGTGCAGGCTGGTCACCATGATGAGGGGCTTTTTGAGAAATTATCGGTGATCTCATCATCTAATACAGAAGGCCCACTATTGTTATGTTATGTGTGTAGTTTGAAGCAAAATGACACATTTTCCTTCTCCCAGTGAATCCGGCATGGTGCTGTAGGATAAGCCTCATTGGTTTATTTATGTTATTATTGTTGAATGCTGTTGAGTTGGTTCTGGGTTTGAATTGCTGACCTTGCAGTTAGCCGCTCTAGTGTTTATCTTATAGCACCGCACTAAAACTTCAGTTGGTTTGTAGTGTTGTTCAAATTCTCTATTTCTTTATTGATCATTATAGATCTGTCTAGGTGTTCTATACATTATTGAAAGTAGCACATTGAAGTATCCAATTGTTATTCTAGAACTATTTCCACCTTTAATTATGTCTATGCTTGTTTCATATATTTTTGGTTTCTGATGTTGGTGCATATATATTTATATATTTTTGACAAATTGACCCTTTTATCATGTAATGTCCTTCTTTGACTCTTATACCAGGTAGTGTTTCATTTTGTTGTACATAGGGTTGCTGTGAGGTAGAACCAACTCATTGGCACCTAACACCAACACATCCAATGCCTGTCTGTAAGTCATGCTTTTGCTGGTGACCCTGGCACCTACAAACTATGGAACGTCTCATGGACACATGGTAACAAGGTGTCACTTGATCAACATACTCATTTTATGACCAAGACATAGCCATTTACACAGTGGCACTGCAGGCTAATGCGCTTGACTGCAAGGTCAGTTTGAACCGCAAGGTTGGCGGTTCAAGCTCACCAGCCGCTCCTCAAAAACCCTATACAGGGTTGCTATGAGTCGGAACCAACTCGACAGCACTTAGCAACAACAACAAAGTCATACATTACCATACTAAATGCTATCTCATCCTCTCTCTTTATTCTAATGGTGAAAATGTAGTTGCAATGGGAAAAAAAAGGAGAAATTGTTACCATGGCAGCCATTATGAATATTTTCCTGGAAAACCCACTTCACAGCTGTCAGACTCGTCTCCGAGACTCCTTGTACCATAGATCCAGGAACACCTGTTGAGTCAATGAGGAGGAAGCTAAGTGAAACACGTCACTGGGACTTGAAGAGCTTTATGAAAAATCTAGATTCTTCAATAGCTACAGGTTTACATGTTTGTTCCCTGAAGTTTGTCTTTCTTTGTGCTTATTTAAAAAACAAACAAAATCAGAACCATTCTCTCCTTGGTCTACCTTAGAAATTTAATATCTAATTTTTTAAATATAAACGACTGTAGTCTCTACAGCCATAGCCTTCAGGTTTTTTTCCCAGTCTATAGGTGACGTAGAAAGAATCAAAGAAATAATATAAAATCACTTTAAGAGCTAAAGAAAAATGAGAATATTCTGATTAAAAGTGTCTATTGGGTGCCAAGCAAACTGGCTTAAAAAAAATCTACATGGCGAGCACTTCCTGATGAAATTTCATATCTTCAAGGACAATGAGAAAATTCTACAGGATTCTGTATGAAGAGAGAGAATTGTTTACCCCAACAGTAAAGGGATTTCATTGGAAGCAATTTCTCATTAGCTACACTTGATGCCAAAAGTGGTCAAAGCAAAGGCTCTGGGAAATTATTTTAAACTGAGTTTTGTCTGCCCTATTAATTTATCATTCAAGAATGGGAACAAATGCAAGAAATAAAAATAGTTTGCACCTTTCCCAAGAAAATTTATTTAAGAATTACGCCAACTTAATGAAATAAAAATCTAAGAAAGAGAACCTAAAATATGACTATAATAAATAAATGGCAAACAGAGAAATAAGCTAATCTTATAGTTAAGTCTAAGTAGTTGACGACAGTGTTTTGAAGCTCATGGTAGAAAACTGTGAAGAAATATTGCCCTAAAAAGTAGACACAAAGATTGGATAAACATGGTATATCTTTCTTGCCTCTAATTTCTACATATGATAGAAAAGATACCTATCAGTATGTCTGTCTCCATCTACCTATCTATTTTAGAAAAAATATGTGTATTTTAAATAGAGTTAGTCATTAATAGCACTGGGAAAGAAGAAAGAATAAAATCAGGAGACCATTGGTTGTGTACCATTGAGTCGGTTCCAACTCATAGCAACCTTGTATCTGGTTTCCAAGACTGTAAATCTTTATGGGAATAGAAAGCCTCATTTTTCTCTCATGGAGCAGCTGGTAGATTTGAACTGCTGACTTTGTGGTTAGTAGCCCAGCTCATAATCCATTATGCTACTAGGTCTCCTAGAAGACTATTGTTGTTGTTGTTGTTAAGTGCCCTTCAGTCATGTTCTGAAATACTCATTCTTTGCAATGTTATCTATAGTTTGTCATGATCTGTATAGCCTTTGCACAGTCAATAAAGCACAATTAAATATCTCTTTGGTATGCTTTGCTTTCAGCCAAGATCAATTTGGCATCACACAATGATATCCCTAATTCCACGTCCTCTTCTGAATCCAGCTTGAATCTTCGGAAGTTCTCTGTGGTTGTACTGAGTGTAGGTAGATGGCTTACTTCTGGGTTCTCAATTCTGTTCCATTGATGTGTGTATCTTTCATTGTACAGTACCAGACAGCTTTGATTACTGTGGCTGTGTAGTAAAATTTAAGATTGGGTAGTAAGAGGTCTCTTACTTTGTGTTCTTCTTTCTTAGTAATGCTTTTCTTATCTGAGATCTCTTTTTTCCCATATAGTTAGTGATTCATTTTTCCATCTCTGTAATGAATGATGTTGAGTTTAGATCAGAATTGCATTATAT